GCGCAGAAGGACGCCTGGCACACGTTCTGCGACACCACCCTGGGCGGCAACCGCGACCCCGCCCGCCACGACGGGGAGACCTGGCCGCACCCCTCTAGGCTTCCTAGATGGGGTCGGAGTAGATGGGGTCGAAGGATCGCGCCGCATCGCCGATGCATCGGCGATGAGGCTCGATGCGGAACCCGATCTTCTCCACGCCTACGTCGCCGATGCATCGCCGACGTCGCCAGGTGCATCGCCAATGCATCGCCGATACATCGGCGATGCATTGGCGATGCGGCGGGATCCTTCGACCCCATCTACTCGGACCCCATCTAGGAGGCCTCTAACCCCGCAGGGGAGGAGGGAGAGGTGCGCCCATGACCTCTGCCCTTCGCGCCCGCGTGCCTCCCCCTCTTCGTTCTCGCCCTTTCTGGGGAGGCCCTCGGCGCCACCGCTGGATCCGCCTCGAGGCTCTTGGTCAGAACGCACGCCGGGAGAGGTCTGGGGAGTAGCGGTATCGGTGCCTTTTGGTTTCCCCACAGCAATTGCGCTTCTCCTTTTCCTGAGCTCCAGGTTTCCCAGATGGGGTCAGAGTGGATGGGATCGGAGGCTCGCGCCGCATCGCAGATGTATCGCCGATGCGGCTCGATGTGGAGCTCGACATCGCCGATGCATCGCCGACATCGACGATGCGTCGCTGGTGCATCGCCGATGCATCGCCGATACATCACCAACGCATCGCCGATGCATCTGCGATCTGGCGCGATCCTCCGACCCCATCTACTCGGACCCTATTCAGGAATTTTCGATAAGCGTTTTGTGTGTTGAGCTATTATTTCTGAAGAGCAGTTATCCGTAAGGGCTTCGCCCCATGCCGCCGGCCCCCTGTCTCGGATAATGGGAGATGCAAAAGCTAAATCATGAGGTCTGGGCGCCGCCGTGAAGCAGTGTCGGGACCTGTTTGTTTTTCAACCCTGACCCTACGGATCTGCGTCAAGGGTGCCACCGAATTTCAGACATGTGGCAAATCCCCTTGTGGTTTTGCACCCTGACCCTACGGATCTGCGTGAGGGGTGCCGCCGAATTTCAGACATGTGGCAAATCCCTTGTGTTTTTGGACCCTGACCCCGCCGATCTGCGTGAGGGGTGCCACCGAATTTCAGACATGAGGCAAATCCTTTGTGTTTTTGCACCCTGACCCCGCCGATCTGCCTGAGGGGTGCCACCGAATTTCAGACATGTGGCAAATCCCTTGTGTTTTGGACCCTGACCCCGACGACCTGCGTGAGGGGTGCAACCGAATTCCAGGCATGAGGCAAATCCTTTGTGTTTTTGCACTCTGACCCCGCCGATCTGCGTGAGGGGTGCCACCGAATTTCAGAAATGTGGCAAATCCCATGTGTTTTTGGACCCTGACCCCGCCGATCTGCGTGAGGGGTGCCACCGAATTTCAGACATGTGGCAAATCCATTGTGTTTTTGCACCCTGCCCTCGCCGATCTGCTTGAGGGGTGTGAATTCTTACCCACCCCAACAATTCAGAGCATACGTTTTGGCAGTGGTACAAATGTTCGTTTGGGGCCTCCCCCCCTCGCGCGGTCCATCAACAAGGAACAGTAAGCAGCAAGAAGCAGAGCTGTAACAAGGAACAATAAGCAGCAAGAAGCAGAACTGTAACAGTGGAAACTGGAAGCTGCAACTGGTGCAGGAAACTGCGAACCTTCGGCCCACAGCCTGGTGGCCCCACAAGGGGGCCGGCGGATTGTTCATCCTATCGCTCTGTTGCCGACTAGTAAGTACTGAACAATCATTGCAGTCAACCCGTATGGTAAGGATGCGCGATAGGGACGCAAGGGCCTTGGACGCCCATTTCGAAGCTTTCGAGCGGTGCGCGGCCAACGAAAGTTGTCAAGGATGGACCGAGGAGGTCAGGATGCCAGGGTACCCTTGGTAAGGTTGCCCATCCTTTCTACGCGGGGTGACTGTATTTGTGGACTCCTTCAATGCTCCCTGGCGGCCAGCGCTTCCGCTCGATACTTCGTCGCTTTCTGCCAAGTGGTGGCGTTCCCGCCTTCGGTTCGCAAACCGGCCCTCCTACAACAACGACGCTCCCGCTTGATTCTCCCTTGCTTTTCCTCCAGAATGGTGCTCTTGCTCACCGCCGAAAACCAGACTGTCCAACAGTTTCACCGTTCCCACTCTACAGTCGACCCGCATCGTAAGGATGGCGCTCCTACAACAACGACGCTCCCGCTCAATACTCCCGTGCGTTTTCCCAAGACTTGCGCGTCTGCCCGCCGCAAAAAGCTGGACCGCCCAACAAAACCAGTGTTTCTGGTCGGTATGTCGTCGCCTTGTGCTCTATGAGAGGCGTTCTCTTCTCGCGCCTCGGTGGGTCCGCAAACCGACGCCTCTACAACGACGCTCTTGCTCGCTGCAGATGGCTGCCCTCCCCCAAAAAGATCATCACTCCCGCCTGGTAGTCTTCCGGGTTTTCGTAAGGAGTGGCGCCGTGGCGCCGCAGACCGCCCGCCCCCCCCCCCAAGGAACAACGACGCCCCCGCTCTATGCCTTGGCATCGCTCGGACGTGTGCATCTGTTCTCGGCGAGAGCCATCGAGGAGCATTTTGGAGCTCCTTGCGAGCAAATGCGCGCACCGGGAACGGACGTCCGAGCGATGGCGAGACACGTTTCCTCATTCTGTTGCCCAAGTGTTCAGCCCTTGTTTCGGCGTCGCCTCTGCAGGGCTTTGGCCTGCCCTGTGCGAGAGTTCCGAAAAGGCCCGTGCAGAGGCGCTACAACGGTCCCGAGTCGGTGTCAATAATGTCCAAGGGAACCCCAAGAGGCCCTCGGACAGCCCAAGAGAGCCCCAAGACGGCCTAAGAGGGCGCCAAGACGGCCCAAAGGAGGCCCCAAATGTTTGAATTGACAATGATAACGTGCATTGAAACAGGTGTTGGCAAACCATGTCCGGGCGGGAGATGAACATCGGGCCCCCGATGCGTGAGACCAAGTTCCCACGAAAAGGGCCGCTATCATGATGCTTGCATGTTGCGTAACGAATAGTTTAGGTGCTATTGTTTTTTATCTAAGGAACTCGGCCTGCGCGCCGGTCTGGCGGCTATGCCGCCGCCGTCGGCGCCCCGTCGCTTGCCTCGTCGCCGCTCGTCGTCTGGACCTGCGTGCCGGTCAGGCGGGTATGTCGTCCCCGTCGCCGCCCCGTCACCGCCCGTCGTTTGGGCCCGTTTGGCGGTCTGGCGGCTATGTCGCCGTCGTCGCCGAGTCGCCGCCTCGCACATAGTTCCTGCTTTACAAGAGCAATCGGATCTACCCCCCCTCCCCTGACCTGACAGGTCCCTTTGTCGTAAAGCATGTTTCGTATGATTATGCACCATCGCCCATCCTAGATATGATGTCATACCATCCCAGCCAGGCCAGAGTTTGCTCCCCCTCATCCTCTGCAGACAACACTATGCGCGCACACCCGTTTATCAAGTATCACCAGTTTCCAATAATCCCTTGCAACATATTGGACGAAGTGCACACGCGCGCGTCGTCGCGTACGTATGCCGAAATCCTTCACAAAACTGAGTTTCCGCAAGGGTTCCCGAATCGAGAGTCACGAACACATATAATGATACCAGAGAAAAAATCAGGGCTATAGGGCTAGGGGGTTATAGGGCTATTGAGCTATAGGGCTATAGAGCTATAGAGCTATAGAGTTGTAGGGCTATAGGGCTATTGGGCTATTGGGCTATAGGGCTATAGGGCTATAGGGCTTAGGGCTATAGGGCACCCCCGGGCACCCTCTGGCACGCCCGGGCATCCGGGCACCCGGGCACCCCCGTGCACACCCGTGCACACCCCGGGCACCCGGGCCCCGTGCACCCCTGGGCACCCGGGCACCCGGGCGTGCAGCGAAAATCGGCGACAAACCTAACCTAACCATATGAATCCGCTAGGACCCTTATTGAGGCAAGCTCTGATTGGGGAAAAACAAATGGTTTCACAACGAGGGTGTTCAACAAAAAGCCTGCGCCCGAGGTATTGTGAAGATGTAAGAAAACCATGATTTCAAACGGGCCGCTCGCGCGCGCATGTCGAAATCGCGCATGTCGAAGCGCGGCCTCGTCCATCCTAAAGGTAAACTCATTCCATCCCAGGCAGGCCGGAGTTCGCACCCCCCTGCCCTCATCCTTCGCAGAGAAAAGTATGCGAGCGCTTTCGCTTATCACACATGATCAGTTTTGAAGAATGCCTTGCGAAAAAGGGGGACAAAGGGCGCACGCGCGCGTCGTCGCGCGTGCATGCCGAAATCCCTTGACCGTAGTTTTCGTAAGGATTGCAGATCCGAGTGTCGCGAATTTATATAACAACACACTTTTTCGCAACGAGAACTTTCAAACAAGTTTGCGATCGTGCTCTTGCGCATCCGTCAGAAAACCATGGGTTGTCAACAGTTTTATTACATGCTTTCACACGGGCCGCTCGCGCGCAACGCCCTTGCGCGCGTGCTGTCGCAAGAGTCCCTTGCAAACAACGGGACGACGTTCACGCGCGCGCGCGTCGTCGCGCGCGCATGCCGACATCTTTCAGAAACATTATCCAGGCGAAGGACCCAACCATATACAGTTGCGAGAGTACTGCGTTGTGGGTACCGGTTTCGGTGAAGTTCTTATGGGGCCACGAAGCGCGACCCTGGGTGGTGTTGACGCATGCGGCCTGTGCCACTGGAGCCTTCGGTGGAGCTCCCTATGGGGCCACGAAGCGCTGTCCTGGGCGGCGTTGACGCAAGCGGGCGGTGCCACTGGAGCCTTCGGTGGGGCCCCCTTATGGTGCCAGGAAACGTTGTCCTGGGTGGCGTTGACCCATGCGGGCGGTCCCACTGGGGCCTTCGGTGGAGCTCCCTCTGGGGCCACGAAGCGCTGTCCCGAGTGGCGGGGCGGTGCCACTGGGGCCTTCGGTGGAGCCCCCTTATGGGGCCACGAAGCACTGCCCTAGGTGGCGTTGACGCATGCGGGCGGTGCCACTGGAGCCTTCGGTGGAGCTCCCTATGGGGCCACGAAATGCTGTCCTGGGCGGCGTTGACGCAAGCGGGCGGTGCCACTGGGGCCTTCGGTGGAGCCCCCCATGGGGTCACGAAGCGCTGTCCTGGGTGGCGTTGACGCATGCGGGCGGTGCCACTGTTGCATTTGGGCCCCCCTTATGGGGCCACGCAACGCTGTCCTGGGCGGCGTTGACGCATGCGGCGGTCCAACTGAGACCTTTTGTGGAGCTCCCTATGGGGCCACGAAGCGTTGTTTTGGGTGGCGTTGACGCATGCGGGCGGTGCCACTGGGGCTGTTCTGGGTGGCTGTTGACGCATGCGGGCGGTCCAATTGGGCCCGTCGGTGGAGCTCCCTCTGGGGTCACGAAGCGCTGTACTGGGTGGGTGGAAGCAGGGAGGAGGGGGAGGAGGAGGGAGGAAGGAGGCGGGAGGAGAACGCGGGGCGCCGTCTCGTCAAAACGAGGATCCAACACCACAGGACGGTTGGGAATTATTCTTCGTGACGATTTCAAAATCGAGAGTCCCGAAGGTATATGAAAAAAACACATGGTTTTGCAACATCAGTTTTCAAAGCAGTATTGCGTCCGGTGTCATGCCTGTGCTTAAGAACCCCACAAGGTTTTTCAACATGTTCATCTCATTCTGCCAAACGGGCCTCTTGCGCCGCATGTCGAGTTATTCGGACGCCTTTGCGCGCGCTGGGGGGTCACGATCCGTGTCGAATAATACCACGTTGGCCACTCGCGCGCGTCGGCCGCACGCGCATGTCGAACTCCTCCAAAAACTTGCATTGCCAACGCCAGGACGTCGTCATCGTTATCGGCGGGCGTGGTCAAAGTCGGCGCCGTCATTGGTTTTGCTGTCGTCATCGCCACCATCGTCACCATCGCTATGATATCGCGCCCGCCCAAGTCACCGACTCGCACTGAAGTACCAGCTAGGAGGTGCCCAGCTGTCAGCGCCACCGCGGCCGCGTCGGCCACGCGGCCGCGGAGATACACCAGCCAACGCCAACCATTCGTCGCAACCGCCGCCGCATGCGTTTTGCAAACCATGTGGCGGGTGGGCGGGTGAGATGTTTGCAAGACATTGGATGTGCCAACTCGTTTTTTATATAAATAAAAAACTGGCGCCGCATCGAGACCCTCCTCTTCTTAAAGAGTATCAGGCTCCCCCCGGGAACGGGGTGTTTTTTCTCACCGCGATTTACATGTGATTCTGCCGCATCGTCCATCCCAAAGATACGAATTGGTGCCATCCCAGGCACGCCGGGGCTCCCCCCTCATGTTTTGCCCCCCCTAGGAAAAAACGCGAGTGGTTTCGCTCATCTCACGTCATCAGTTTCGAATACATTTTTTTTTGCAAGAAGGGGCGGAGGGCGCACGCGCGCGTCGTGGCGCGCGCATGCCGAAATCCTTCGAAAACCACACTTTTCGGAAGGATTTCAAAACCCAGTGTCGCGATCTATTATAACAGTACGCTGTTTCGCACCGAGAATATTCGAAAAAGTTTGCGCTCGCGCTCTTGCGAATTCGCAGGGAAACCATGGGTTGCCCACCGTTTCGGAACATGCTTTCAAACGGGCCGCTTGCTCGCGCTTCTCGAAATCGTTCGAACGCCCTTGCGCGCGATCAGTCGCAAAAATCCATAGCAAAAACGGGACGGCGTGCACGCGCGCGCGTCGTCGCGTTCGCATGCCGAACTCTTTCTTATATAAAAACAAGAAGGTTTGGTTCACGCAAGGGTTTCAAACACGACCGCCCCGAAGACATCGACGCACATGGTTTTGCAGCATACGTTCTCACACATAAAAAAACTTGCGCTCGCGGTCAAGCGGATTCGTGAGAAGACCGTCGCTTGGCCAACATGTTCACCACCTTCTGCCAAGCGGGCCTTTCGCGCCGCATGTCGAATTCATTCGGCTGCCTTTGCGCGCGTGCTGGGGGCGGGAGCGGGGGTACGATCCGTGTCAAATTATACCACGCGGGCCACTCGCGCGCGTCGGCCGCGCGCGCATGTCGAACTCCTTCAAACAAATCATCGCCGACGCGATGACATTGTCATCGTTTTCGGCGGGCGTGATCAGCGTCGGCGCCGTCATTAGCTTTGCCGTCGTTATCGCCACCATCGTCGCCATCGCTGCTATCATAGTCGTGTCTACCGTTGTCGGCGTCGCAATGGTATCGCGCCCGTCCCAGTCACCGACTTACCCAGCGGTCAGCGCCACCGCGGCCGCGTCGGCCACGCCAAACTAGCTGGCCGCTGTGCGCGCGAGCGTGCACGGGCCAACGCGGCCGCAGAGATGCACCAGCCAACGCCAAGCACGCATCGCAATCGCCGCCGCATGCGTTTTGCAAACCAAGCTGCGGGCGGGCAGGCGGGATGTTTGCAAAAGCGCGCGGGATGTGCCAACCCGTCTGTAAGAATCCATTGCGCCACAGACGTTGCATCGCAGAGCATCCATGCCACGGATGGCATGGCACAAACATAGATTGCCACAACGAACACAGAGATCGCACCGATATATATATATAGTCTATTGCACACGAGCGCCAAGGCGGAACACCCATCGTGTTGCTGCCGCTCGTTGTCCTCCCCCTCATGTTCCCCGTGTCCCGGTGCCGCTCGTTTTGGTGTCGCTCGTTCTCCTCTCCCCCTCGCCTGGTGCCCCCTGCCTCCTTTTCTTCCTCCCCCTCCTCCTCATCCTCCTCCTCCTCCTCGTCGTGCTCCTCCTCCTCCTCCTCCTCCTCCCTCTCCTCCTCCTCGTCCCCCTCCTCCTCCTCAACCTCCTCCTCCTCCCCCTCCTTCTCCTCCTCCTTCTCCTTTCTTCCCTCCTCCCCCTCCTCCTCCCCTCCTCCTCCTCCTTCCTACTCCTACTCTACTCCTACTCCTCCTCCTCCTCCTCCTCCTCTCCTCCTCCTCCTCCTCCTCCTCCTCCTTCTCCTCCTCCTCCTCCTCCTCCTCTTCCGCCTGCTCCTCCCTCTCCTCGTCCTCCTCCTCGTCCTGGGCCGCTCCTTCTGCTTCCCCCCTCCTCCTCCTCCTCCTCCTCCTCCTCCTCCTCCTCGTCCTGGGGCCGCTCCTTCTCCCTCCCCCTCCTCGTTTCCATTATGGTTCTCCTCGGCGTCCTTGTCTTCGCCGCTCTGCGGCTGCTGCTGCCGCTCGTCCTCCTGCCTCCTATGTCCATTCTCCCTGCTGCGGCGCGTGAGCCTCGCGTCAACCTCAGCATCTGATCTTCCTCCTTCTCCTTTCCCTCCTCCTCCTCCTATTCCTGCTCCTGCTCCTCCTCCTCTTCCCCTCTTTCCTCCTCTTCCGCCTCATCCTCCTCCCCCTTGTGTCGCTCTCTCAGTCTCTCGGTCTTTCGCGCTCGCTCGCTCGCTCGCCCTTTTTGTTTCTCTCGCTCTCTCTCTCTCTCTCTCTCTATCAGTCTCTCTCTCTCTCTCTCTCCCCTTCTCTTTCTCTTCTTTTCCTATCCTGAATCCTATCCTCCCTCAAGTGCCGCTGGCCCTGGGAATGTGCCTCCCTGGCATCAGGAGACGCTGCAGCAATTCCTCATGATGCACGGGAGCTCGTAAGCTGTTGGGCCATCACAGGATCAGTGGGCCAGTGCGGGAGGAGGGAGGACGAGAGGAGGAGGAGGAGGAGGAGGAGGAGGAGGACGACGACCACCAGTGCACACCCTAGACTCATCAACGATGTTGCAACAAACCCTTCCTCCAAACTCCCTTTCCACAGGTCCCCGCAAGGGTTTGCTCTCGCTGAGGAAAGGGTCCCGTTGGAAGAAAAACGTTGTTACCGTTGCGCCCTGACGGCCCTGAACAGTGCCATAAGAACATTCCTGGGACTTCCACACCGCGAGTCAGCGTGGCGGCTGCGCCCTCGCACTTGCGCATCGTGCCAGGGCGCAATGTCTGAAGCCTCAACCATACAGTCGGCCCGGATTACTAGGTCGACCCTGCCAAATCAAGGGTACTTTTGTGTCCTGTGTCCCGCGACACCATGATTCCGACACTCCTGTGGCGATGTGGCCTTCGGAAGGGTCTCGCGTCCTCTCGAGTGTCTTGTCCAATCGAGTCCGACTGTACGCAGCACAGTGCATGCCGCACCGCTTACATCGTCGACTTTTCCACAGCACAGCTCCCGCCGCACAGGCCACACCGCACAGCCGACACACCATCAGCCCAAACCACACATCACATACGCAACGCGCCCAGCACCAGGCCACGCAGCCGGTGCACAACAGTCAGCACCACCTATCTGACTGTACGTTGTGCTTGAATCCGCCGTGTTTTCTCGGCACGCGCGTGCGCGCGGCGCCTGCGGCGAGAGCCGGCAGCCTGAAACGACGGCCCTCTGTCCGTGCAGGGCTCCTGCAGCTGCTCGCAGGCGAGCGCGCGCGGCGCCTGCGGCGACGTCTGCCTCTTGGAGAAAGGAGCCGTCCTCATTTCGTGAACTTGGCATCGCTCGGTCGTGTGCGTTCTTTTTCGGGGGCGGCAGAGAGGGGGGTGATGACCAGGGGGGATGGATATCATGGCGGGGGCCATGATTTTTTTCCCCCAGATTTCGTGGCGCCTCTTCTTGTTTCATTACGTCCCCGGCCCCCCCCCGCTGGGCCGCGCACAGGCCGCCGGCCATGATTTGCACCCCCCCCTTCTTGGCTACCCCCTCTTGGCCGCTCCCGAATTTCGTGAACTTAGCATCGCTCGGACGTGTGCGTTTTTTTCTGGGCGAGAACCATCGAGGACCAGCCTGGACCATCGAGCAACAACAAAAACAGGCACGAAGCCGAAGCATTCACGGGAATTCGGACGTCCGAGCGGCGGCAAGTGCAGTTCACTCAAAACCTTTGAGACGAATGTGCGCGGCGCCCAGGCGATGGCCAGATTCTCCCTATCCGCGAAGCCGTGGCAAATGTTCAGATCGAAGATGCGCGGCGCCCAGGCGAGCGCCCGATTTTTGAAATGGGCATGTATAGGACGAATGCGCTCGGCACCCAGGCGAGAGCATTCGCCCCCGTCCGTGAAAACATCACCAATCCTGAGCTTCAGGATTATATGTTCCAAAGACGTCTACTGCGAAACTCCCGGCCCGCCCTACCGACCCGTCTCGGGGTGCGACAGGGTGGAGTTTTTGAGGGAAGAAGGATGGGGGAGGAGGAGGAGGAGGAGGAGGAGGAGGAGGAGGGAGGGAGGAGGAGGGAGGAGGAGGAGGGGGAGGGGCAGGAGGAGAAGGAGGGGGAGAAGGAGGAGGAGGGGGAGGCGGAGGGGGAGGGGGAGGAGGAGGAGGAGGAGGAGGAGGAGGAGGAGGAGGGGGAGGAGGAGGACCAGTGTAAATCCATGGGTACGCGCCAGGAGGACCAGTGTAAATCCAAGAGTCATCAACGATGTTGGAAGAAACTCTCCCTTCAAGCTCCCTCTGAACAGGCCCCATACAAGGTTCACTTCCAGTGAGGGAACTGCCTCGTTGGAAGACAACCGTTTGAAGAACCTGACGCATGCCAAAACATCGTTCTCGGGATTCCAACTCCACGGATCAACCTGACTTTTGCGTCTTGACGATCCTGAATCGTACCAAAACGCCATTCTTGGGACTTCAACACCGCGAATCAACGTAATTGCTGCACCCTCATCATCCTGATTTTTTCCCAAACAAGATCTTGTACGCTGATCATAGGAATTCGTGAAACTTTTTGTTGTTTTATTTATACATAAAGACACAAAGCACGAATGTGCGCGGCGCTACGGCGAGAGCCACATTTTGAAAAGGAGCCGCCCTCAATCCATGAAACACTCGCACATTTGTTCAAATAAATGTGCGCGGCGCTAAGGCGAGAGCCACATTTTGAAAACCCCCCGCCCTCAATCCGTGAAATTCTTGCAACTGTTTAAAACGAAAGTGATCGGCGCTAAGGCGAGAACCACATAGTGAAAACGACCCGCCCTCCATCTGTGAAGCTGTTGTCAACGTTTAAGCTTCATGGTTATAAATGATGGGCACGTCTCAGGCGTCCAGTCCGCCCTAAAAACTGGCCTCGGGGTGCGACAGGGAGAAGTTATTTGTAAGGAAAGGAATGGAGGATGCTGATGAGGAGGAGGAGGCGGAGGAGGAAGAGGAGGAGGGGGAGGAGGGGGAGGAGGAGGAGGAGGAGGAGGAGGAGGAGGAGGAGGAGGAGGAGGAGGAGGAGGAGGAGGAGGAGGAGGAGAGGAGGAGGGGAGGAGGTGGGGGGAAGGGGAGGAGGAGGAGGAGCAGGAGGAGGAGGGGGAGGAGGGGTGGTGGAGGAGGAGAAGGAGGAACAGGAGGAGGATGAGGAAGAGAAGGAAGGGGAGGAGGGGGATGAGGAGGTGGCGGATCAGAAGGAGGACGAGCACGGGGAAAAAGAGGAGGAGGAGCAAGGATGACGAGGACGAAAAGCAGAAACAGGAAATGGAGTGGAAAGAGCGAGAAAACCAGGACGACTAGGGGAAGGTTGAGGAGGGGAAATGAAGGCAGCGACAATGAAGACAAATCATTTGGATCTGGACAAGTGGCCCTCGCTGGGACGAGAGCGCCATTCTGAAAGACTGGAGCAAAGCGCCGAGCCGCAAATAAGGTCCATGCTGCAGCGGGTACTGTTTTGAAACACCGAAAGCAATCGGATCATTAGACGAAGAATTGGACTCCCGTGTGGAGGAAACAGCATGCGGAGAGGACCGGCTGTCTTACAACCAGAGTCATATAAGAGAGGGGAGCAGTATTCATAATGAACAGGTATAGATGGGGAATAAGGATTGCAGGGTGTGGGGCAAGATGCCAGTAACGATGTCGTTGACCATGGCGATGATGTCTATTATCATGGTGGCGACGACGAACGCGAAGCCGATTACGATGATGATTGTGCTGGTGATGGTGGTGATGATGTGATGCTGACGCGACGGCGATGATGATGTTGATGAGGACGTTGACGCTGATAATGATAATGATGCTGAAGATGATGTTGCTGACGATAATGATGATCTTGATGATGATCCTGATTTCTGATCATGATGACGTTGATGTTGATGATACTGATGTTGGCGTTGATGATGATGGTGATTATGATGCTGATGATGGTGATGGTGATGGTGATGATGATGATGATCCGTGTGGCGGTGGTGGTGATGGTGCTACTGCTGCTGATGATGATGATGATGGTGATGGTGATACGGATGATGATGATGATGATGATGATGATGATGATGATGATGCTGCTGATGATGATGTTGATGATGATGATGATGTTGCTGATGCTGATTATAATGATGACGATGATGATGATGGTGATGCTGATACTGATGATGTTGATTATGCTGATGCCGGTGATGATGATACTGATGATGATGATGATGATGATGACGATGGTTGTGATGATGATGTTGATGATGATGAGGATGATGATGATTATGATGATATTGATGTTGCTGATGATAATTATGATGATGATGACGATTATGATGATGCTGATGATGATTATGATGATGATGCTGATCATGGTGATGATGATGCTGATGATGATTGTGATGATGATGTTGATGATGATGATGATGATGATGATGATGACCATGACGATGACGATGACGATGCTGCTGCTGCTGCTGATGATGCTGATGATGATGATGATGATGATGATGATGTTGGTGCTGCTGCTGCTGATGATGATCATGATGATGATGATGGTGGTGGTGGTGATGATGATGATGATGATGATGATGATGATGATGATGATGATGATGATGATGATGTTGATAATGGTGATGGTGGTGGTGGTGGCGGTACCTGTGATGACGCGGATGATGACATCGGTGGTGGTGGTGATGGTGATGTTGAGGGCCACGATCACGAGGATTCTGATTCCCTGCTGGTGACGACCACGGCTCTTTGAGCGCGACGAGGACAGTGCTCGGCGCCGCGAGATGCACAGATCTGCGCGTCGCTCGGCGGTACGTCTGCAGGTGCGGCACGCCCGCAGGTGCACGAGGTCTGCAGGGGGCCCCTGCCTCGTGCGCGGCCCCACCCTGCCGACGCCATGCACGGGTGCGTCTGCCGGGGTGGGCCAGCACTTCGACTCTGCCCACCTCTTCGTCGTTCCCCCCCCCCCCCCCCAGCGCTCTCCTTGCCGACGTGCGGGCTCCGCCCCTCCCCGGGCTGCGCGAGCGGGCGTCCCGCCCCGAGAGAGGCGCGGGCCTCCCGAGACTCTGGGGCCCTCGTTGGGTGCCAGCCTCGATCCTGGGCCCGTGGAGCACCGCGCCGCCCCGCGGGCCCCCTCCTCGCCCTCCTCCTCCTCCTCCTCCTCCTCCTCCTCCTCCTCTGCCTCCTCCTCTGCCTCCTCCTCCTCCTCCTCCTCCTCCTCCTCCTCCTCCTCCTCCTCCTCCTCCTCCTTCTCCTCCTCCTCCTCCTCCTCCCCCGCGCTCCTGGGTCGGCCCCTCCGCGCGCCGAGGGCGCGAGGAGGTGGCACCCCGCGCGCAGGGCGCGCAGCGCGCGCTGCCTGCCCGCCGTGCTGCGAGCGCCGCGCGGGCAGTCCGCTTCGGAGGCGGAGGAGGAGGAGGAGGAGGAGGAGGAGGAGGAGGAGGAGGAGGAGGCGGAGGAGGCGGAGGAGGAGGAGGAGGGAGAGGAGGAGGGGGAGGCGGGGAGGAGGAGGAGGAGGAGGAGGAGGAGGAGGAGGCGGAGGCGGAGGTGGTAGGATCACCGCGCCGCCTGCGCCGCCTTGGAAGGCCTCGGGCCGCCTGCGCCGTGCCCCGGGGCTCCCCCGCCTCTCCAGCGAGCGCCGCCGCAGCTGCTGCGCCCAGCGGCGGCGCCGGCGCCGCCGCAGCTGCTGCGCCCGCGCTGTCGTTGCCGTCGCCCCCCCCGCAAGGGCACGCCGAGGCCGCTGCACGTCGCTGCTCCTTCGGCGTGCCTAGGCGCCGCCGCCTCTGGCCACGTCTGGCGCCGTCCCGGGGCACCTGCAGGGAGCTCTCATGCGGGCGTGGCTGGGCCTGGCGCTCTTTCGCTGTCGCCTGGGAGGGAGCGCTTCCACAGACGTCCTCCCAGACTGGCCAGGGGCCGGTCTGATCTTCACCAAGATCTCGGCTCGGCTCGAGCTTGTGGAGGCTTCTCCAGCTGAGGCGGAGGAGGAGGACGAGAAGGAACAGGCAGAGGGACGGAGGAGTAAGCAGAGGAGCTACGTTCGGCAACACAGAAAAGCAACGGGGGAGCGAAAGGAGGAGCGAGAGGAAGAGAACGAGGAGGAGGAGGAGGAGGAGGAGGAGGAGGAGCTGAGCAAGAGGAGGAGCAAGAGGGCCATGGCAACAGCGCAGGCACGAGCGGTCCTGAGGGGACGGGGGTGCGGTGTGCAGACGCCGCTTGAGACGCGCGGAGGCGGCTATGGCGGCTGGCCACTTGCTACCATCGTAGAGAAATTGGCCGTAAATGCCGAAGCCGTCGGCGCCGCGCGTGCTATATATGTAGGCGTGCCTTTTCGAGGATGCCTGGCAGGCTGCGCCCCCTGCCGCCGAGGCCCCCAGGGAGGAGGAGGAGGAGGAGGAGGAGGAGGAGGAGGAGGAGGTCTTCGGGGCTTGTGTGCAGGCTGGGGCCGCATGTGGGGCCTGCCGGCGCAATCTTGGGCGAGTGCGGCTGCCTCCTGGGGCAGATGGAGGCCAGCTTGGGGCTTTCCAGGGCAGCATTGGAGCCCTCCGGGACTCTGTCGAAGCCATCCGGGACCGTCCACGGAGAGGCGCACGCGACAGGTGGGCAGCGCAGGCACACGGCTGTGATCTGCCTGAGGTGTCGCCTCCTCGAGGTGCTTCGGGGGTCCGCGAGGTGTGTGGGGCCCTCTCGGACCATCCTGTGGCTCTCGTTAGGCTCTGTTGCGGCCCGCCGGGAGGCTCTCTCGGGTCGGGCCATCCTGGTCGCTGGGCGGCGTCCCCGCTCGAGCCTGCAGCGGCCTCGAGCGGCGGGGCGGCCGGGGGCCCCTCTCGCTGGGCG